GTGTCTCTCTCACATTGATCTTTCTCTCCCTCTCTTCGACCCTCTCTCCCTCTTCTTCCCACTCTATCTGAAGATAAATGCAAAAATGTCCTCGGGTGAGGATAAAAAAAAAGAAGAAGAATAAACTCAAAATGGATTAAATACTTAACTATTAGACCCAAAACCATAAAAGTCTTAGAAGAAAGCACAGGCCATAAAATCTCGAACACTCTAGTAACAATATATTTTTTAATTTATCTCCTTGGGCAAGGGCAATAAAAAATAAACAAATGTGGTATTTGTCCTTTTCTGCTTGGCTTCTTTCACTTAGAATAATACTTTCCAGGTCCCTCCATGTCGTCTCAAAGGATAAGAGATCTTTCTTTCTTACCGCTGCATAGTACTCCATTGTGTATATGTACCACAGCTTTTTTATCCATTCGTCTACTGGTGGACACTTGGGCTGTTTCCAGATCTTAGCTATTGTAAATAGTGCTGCTATGAACATGGGGGTACATATATTCTTCCTGATTGGTGTTTCAGGCTTCTTAGGGTATATTCCCAGCAGTGGGATCACTGGGTCAAATGGAAGTTCAATTTTTAATTTTTTGAGGTAGCACCATATTGTTTTCCATAGCGGCTGCACCAGTCTGCATTCCCACCAGCAGTGTATTAGAGTCCCCTTTTCTCCACACCCTCATGATCTCACTTATACACGGAATATAATGAACATAACCGTCTGAGGAATACAGTAGACCCAGACACATGGAAGTAGGGCACAGACTGACATCCCTCAGAAGAGGGGATGGGGGGTGGGGGGTGGGAAGAGATAAACCACAGAACTTATATGCATGTATGCATGACCAATGGACATGGACAACTAAGCCGGGGACAGGGTGGAGGGGGTGGGGGTGGGGGGTGCCAATGGGGTAAAAAGGTAAAATATCTGTAACAAAAAAATAAATAAAAATTCATTAAAAAATAAATAAATAAATAAATAAATAAATGGAACTACATCAAACTAAAAGGAGTTTGCACAGCAAAGGAAAACCATGAACAAAATGAAAAGACAACCCAATGAATGGGAGAACATTTTCACCAATGCTACTTCTGATAAGGGGTTAATATCCAAAATTTATAAAGAACTTATAAAACTCAACACCAAAAAAACACTCCTCTTAAAAAATGGACAAAGGACCTGAATAGACACTTCTCCAAAGAGGACATACAGATGACCAGTAGACATGAAAATATGCTCAGTGTCACTAATCATCAGAGAAATACAAATTAAAATTGCATTGATATACCACTTTGCATTTGTCAGAATGGCTCTCATCAACAAATCAACAAAAACAAGTGTTGGCGAGGTTGTAAATAAAAGGGAATTCTCGTGCACTCTGGTGGGAATGCAATTGGTACAGCCACTGTGCACAACAATATGGAGTTTCCTCAAAAAAATTAAAAATGGAACTGCCTTATGACCCAGTGTATCCACTTCTGGAAATATATCCAAAGAAACCTGAAACACTAATATGAAAGACTGTATGTACCCCTGTGTTCATTGAAGTATTGTTTACAATAGCCAAGATTTGGAAGCAGCCCAATTGCCTGTGAGTAGATAAAACATCTACACAATGGAATACTACTCAGCAGTAAAGAAGAAGGAAACCTTTTGCAACAGCATGGACCTGGAGAGTATTATGCTACATGAAAGAAGTCAGTCAGAGAAAGACAAGTACCATATGGTTTTATTTATGTGGAATCTTATGAACAAAATAAACTAAATAGAAACACTCATAGATACAGAAAACAGACTGACAGCTGTCAGAGGTGGTTGGAGGGCTGAGTGAAATAGGTGAAGGGATTAAGCAGAAAAACAGTTCATAGTGACAGACAGCAGTAGGGTGATTACCAGAGGGAAATGGGAGTAGGGGAATGTAAAAGAGTAAAGTGGGGATAAATGGTGATGGAGGGAGACTTGACTTGGGGTGGTGAACACACAATACCATATATGGATGGTGTATTATAGAATTGTACACCTGAGTCCTACATCATTTTGTTAACCAATGTCACCTCAATAAATTCAATTAAAAAAAGAATGCTGCTATAAAAAAAGTGCTTGCAGAATTAAAAGTAATAGAATTGAAGAATGGCAAGGGAAGTTGAATAGGCCACCCCTGTTACTGGTCAAACCTCCTCGTTTCGGTGAGGGAGATAACTGAAGTCTGAAGCAGTTAAGTGACATGCTCAAGGTGCTCAAGATTGCTCTCTGGATAGTTTGTAACAGAGCTAGAAGAGAAACTAGATCACCCAACCACGGGTCCAGGACTCTTTTTGCTCTACTTCCCTGACTCATTTAGAGCTTGGAATTTTTTTAGCCTAGCCCTATGAAACAACTCATGAATACTTAAAGGGATTTTCCATGAAGTATAAATGAGAATAGTACAGAGAAGACCTGGTGAAGGAACTGTCAGAGAAGAAAATATCCATTGTGCTATTTGAGTCAAAACTTGGGGAGGAGAGATGGCATTCCAGGTGGGAGGACCACAGGTAACACCATATGGGAGGGTGGGAAAATTGTTGGGGAGCGGGAATAGGGTAAGAGTTGGCTTTTTTGGCTCAGAGACTCTGTTGGCGAGGAACTAGATTGCTGCTTGGTGAGGAAGGAACTGGGGGAGATGGTAGAACAGAAAAGGAAAGGTTTGGCAGGGTCTTGTTAGACATAATTGGTAGAGAATGAAGGGTCTGCTAGATTCTAGTGAGTAAATATAAGCTTCACGAGAGCCATGATTTTGTCTGTTTTGCTCACTGTTGTATCCTTACTAGTGCATAGTAAATACTCAGAAAATATTTGTTGAGTAAACAGATAAATGAATGAATGACTAAAATATGGGTCCCAACAAAATTGAAATTCTTTCTTTGTTAATCCTCACCCAAAGATATTTTTCCATTGATTTTTAGACAGAGTGGAAGGGAGAAAGGGAGAGAGAGAGCAAGAAATATCCATGTGAGACACATTGACTGGTTGCCTTCTGCACAACCCCGACTGGGCTGGGGATTGAACCTGCAACCCAAGTACGTGCCCTTGACCAGAATCAAACCAGAGACTCTTTGGTCTGCAGGTTGACACTAACCAGTGAGCCAGTCCAGCCAGGGCAAGACTGAAATTCTTGACCAAAAGGATAATGTGAAAGAAACAGTGTCCAAGGAAGAAAATTTTTACAAACGTGTAATGGGTGGGCTCAATATGTAAAGGAACAGAAACACTTCTAGAAGTGTGGAATGACATGATGAAGACTCGAATGAGGGTCGTAATCACAGGAAGGGAAAAGACATAGGGTAGAAGGAAAATACATGGAGGGAAAGGACGTAACGTGGACTTTGGTCTGGAAGCACAGGGTACCTTTTATGAGCCAGTGGAACTCGGAGGAAAACTTCAAAGTCATTTGGATTAAAATTCAATTATTATTTTATTTAAAAAGGGACACTTGTGAAATTAAACACTAATGTTTTTATATCTTGAAATGTAAAACTGGCTTTAGAATTTCTTATAAAACAATGAACCAAATGTAAATTTTTAGGGTACTGTGTTATAGCTTGGGCAAACAGAGAGCCTTCTTTCCAGGATATCTTTGGAACTTTTTAAATTGTGGTGACTTTTTACTGAAAAATAATGCCGGTGGACTAGATTCACCATGCAAGCATATACGTGAGGTTAATGGTCCTGTATCTTCCAGTGTTGTCTGTCCTATTTCATAACCATCCCAAATTGCTGTCTCTACTTTGTTTTTCTCAAAGGAACCCTACCATTCTGTATGGATTGACTTGCTTTAATATGATAAAAAAAAAGTAGGCTAGGAACTGGGTGGCCCTAGCTGAGAGACTGTGGCAGTTGAAATGTCCCCTGTGGCCAGGAAAAGTAGACAAGAACAGGGCGTGGTCGCAGCCTGAGCTAGGCTGGGCAGGTGGTCTGTTGTTTTTCTTGTGAGTGGCCAATGGGGTGTCCTGGGATGTGGTGAAGGTGGAAGGGCCCAGGGCTGCCTAACACCAGCCATCACCCCTCAGGGGCAGTTCATTAGATCCCCAGGTGTGAGTGTGGCCACTGAAATTATCTATCACCTGTTGGTGTTTTTTAAACTGCATTTTTCAATCTGTTTCTTTGAGAGGATGGAGCATTATCCCCAGTTTTGGTATCCTGCCTCACACTCCTGGTCACTGGAGTCCGTGGGGTCAGGCAGAGTTAGGACTGGAGCTGGATGAGACCCTAGAAGGCATTTAACTCAGTTTCATTGGCTCAGAGAGGTTGAGATGCCGGCCACACCTATGGCCCGGTTGCTGGTTGTGGCCCGGTCTGCCTGCCACGCCTTGGTGTGCAGATTCTCCCCAAGGGTCTTTACCTGCACATTGATGCTTACAATTTTGCTTTTATAAAATTTTAGTCAGAGCATAACTCTAGCTTATCATGTCAGTTCTGGCCAGTTAAAATATGCTCTATTAATTTTTAAATGATATCCATTTTTGTTCAAAAGAAGAAAAAAGCTGTGCTTCTTTGACATCTAATTTTCGAATAATTCATTTATGTCTATTTAAAAATCAGGTAGGTTGTGCCATCACCAGCCCTGAGCTGCAAGGCTTATGGACATAGGGTCTTGACTCCAGCTGACCTGTTTCACATGGGAAATATAGACACACGTGTAGTGTGTGGGTATATAGTAATATTGAATCAGGTGTCCCTGACTGCGCAGAAGCCATCACATGCTGAAAAGTAATGCCGGAACATCAGCATATGGCACGGTCTGTGCAGGCGACGGCCGCTGTGAAGCTGGCATCGGCCTCGGGCGAGGGCGGCACCTCGGGAAGAGAACTCGCAGCGCAGCCGTGAGCCGGTTCTCACGGTGACGGCGGAGAGCGTCCGGTTCTCACGGTGACAGCGGAGAGCGTGGTGTGCGGTGACGCTCTGCGATGTCACTCGGCGGGCTTAAGTTGTGGACACACATGTTTTTTCTTCTGCTCTTCTACAGACAGACAGAGGCACTTGACAAGCATGAGGAGTGCAGCCAAGCCTTGGAGTCCGGTCACCAAAGTGGGGAGCCATGGGACTGACCGCGCGCGGCCCCTTCCCGCAGCCTCTTCTGGCATGAAGAGTTCTAAGTCTTCAACCTCGCTGGCTTTTGAGTCCCAACTCAGCAAGGTATAGATGGGAACACACAGGGCCAGGAGGCCGGGTGTCCAGTGTCCCTGTCGGGAGGATTGATGAGGGCAGTAAGCTAAGCTAGTGGCCTCCCAGGAGGGTCCTGGGAGAATCAGCATGTCTTCACCTACAGGAACACAGCAAAGGGGGTGTAGCAGGGGCATCTGGGATCCAGAAGGAAATCTGCAAAATGTTTAGCTGTAATTCAGACCCCTGCCCTGGCTTGCATGGGCTTTCCAGTTAGAGCTTTGCCCCAGCACCTCACCGTGGAGGTCAGGGTCACGAATGATCTGGAAATCCATGGCCAGCTCCCCATCCCTGTCTTACTCAACCATTAGCAGAGTTAACACTGTTGATCAGGCCCTGCGCCCGGAATGTCCTCTTCTCTCAGTTGCCTCTGACTCCTCCTGCCCTGGGTTTCTAACCCTGGGTGGACCTAGGGCACCGTCCTTGGGCCTCAGCTCTTCTCCAGTGACTGTGTCACTCACACCCAACACCTCCTTTACTACCCTGAGATGAAATCAGAGGTGTATAACCTACCTACACACACGCTTTGGAAAAATTGCTATAATATCCTAGCTATAAAAGGAAAATGGCTTCTAATTCAGTAATTTGTATTTCCGTCTGCACATGCCCAGCATGGCTGTGCAGAAGGACCTGGATGCTCCTCGGAGCACTGTGGAGGTGACAGCCATGACACAGACTCGTCAGGGTCGTTGGGTCTGTGACTTAAGTCCGTGAAGAGTATGGGGGCAGTGATGTGGTCATGGAACACGCTTGGTCGGGTTCGGAGCCAAGCCGCAGTCTTCCCTTGCTGTTCTTAGAAACTCCAGTGTATCGTAAAGCTGTGCAAGGGGTACACTGTTGTATATAACGAGAAGGGACACTCTAGGCTCTGATAATAATCAAGTGTTCCCTCCATGGGAATGTCTGCAGACGATGTGAAGATTGTGTGGGATGGGGGACAGTTCTGTGTGCAGGTTTGTCACATTCCTCTTAGGACATCTGGGTTCCTCGTCCTTCCACCTACTAAATATCAGTAGTACCTCCAATCATGGTGATGACTAAAAATGTCCCCACAAATTTCCAACAATTGTTCCAGTTGTTAGCGTCCATTCTCATGAATACTGTATGTTCATGATGACCATATTTGTGTGTCTAACCAGGACCCTCCAACTGAATCTTGATTCCTTCTCAGCCATGTCTCACTCCTCCCAAACCTGCTCCTCCTGAATCTCCCCACTTGACTCAACGGCCAGAGCCCATGGCATCATCTTTGAGCTCTTCTTTTCTTACATCCCATAGTTTGATCAGCAAGATGCTGTCACATCTACCTAAAAATTTGACGTCAACTCCACCTGGGTCACGCCACCACCTTTCTTGCACGGGCTTCCCAAATGCTCCCTCTGCTTTGTGTTTGCACCCTACAACCATTCCCAGCAGAAGCCAGAGTGGTCCTTTAGCACGAGAGACACGTCACTCCTGCTTCATCCCCTCGAGGGGCTCTCTCCATTCGCCCGAGTGAGCAGCAGAGTCCTTGGAATGGTCAGTAATGCCCCAGAGACCTCAACCCACTCCCTCTCAGATGCCATCGCCTGCCCCGCCCTGGCTCCCTGAGCTCCTGCCACGCGGGCTCCTGGCGCTCACTGGCGCTGTCCCTCTGAGGAGCCAGGCTCAGTCCTGCACAGAGTGTCTGCTGCTCTCTCTGCCCATTTCCTTCCTCCGCATTCCTCCCTGGTTCTCCTCCTCTAAGTCTGTGCTCAAATGCCCCCTCATCAGACGTCATCCCTGAGCAGCTATGTAAAAGGCCCCTTGGCCTCCATTCACCCTCCTCGCCCTGCCTTTCGGCTCCCACTGCCCACACACACCTGCTTGGTGAGTGTCCATCTCCCATGGCTGGCAGCTAGGCCTAGGAGGGCCTTTCCTTTTGCTGCACAGCTCTGCCCTTAGGCTCAGAAAAGCATCTGCCACCTGGCAGGCACTCAGGGCTTATACATGCCCGAGTCCACTGTGTGTGGCAGGATGGGGGATGTTGGAACAGGCTGGGGGCTCAGACCAGGCCAAGCGGGGATCCTGGCTCTGCCTGCTGTCTGTGAAACCTCGGGCCAGTCCTGCGGCTGTGCTGTGCTCTGGGGTGAAAGTAAATGTGGACAAAGTGCTCCACACACAGCTTTGTTTATTATTCTATTACCCTGGACCCAGCCATTATTTCCATGATTTTTGTTTTTTTCTTTTATTCTCACCCAAGGACTTTTTTCCATTTTTTGTTCAGATAGAGTAGGAAGGAGAGAGAGAGAGAAACATCGATGCGAAAGGGACACATCGTGTGGCTGCCACCCACACAACCCTACTAGGGCCGGGGACAAACTGCAACCGAGGTACGTGCCCTTAGCGGGAACCGAACCTGGGTCTCTCTGGACCGCAGGCCAATGTGCTAACCGCTGAGCAAAACTGGCCAGGGCTCTGTGATTTTTGTTTTTATTCACTTGATCTATAGCATACTTGGGAAACATCTTTAATTTAAATTTCAAATGAATACATACATTTCCCAGTGCAGACCAGTAGAGCCTCTGGAAGTTCTGGAGCTTTCCCTAAGGGCAAGGAAATGTTGGACACTCCGCCACTGATGGGTGAGCATTTTGGAAACTTGTCCACAGGGAAAATGTCAGGGGAAAGCAACCATTCATGTTAGAGACTTTCTACTCTCATTTCTTTTTTTGTTAATCCTCACCTGAGTATACTTTTCCATTGATTATTAGACAGAGTGGAAGAGAAAGAGGGAGAGAGAGAGGGAAACATCCATGTGAGAGAGACCCATGGATTGGTTGCCTCCCACATGACCCCAACCAGGGCAGGGGAATCCGCAACACAGGTTGAACCCGGACCCCTCGGTCCACAGGCCGACACTTCTACCACTGAGTCAAACCAGCCAGAGCTCTGCTCTCATTTCTGATTGTTGGGATCTGCAGGCCGATCTACAACAGAGACTAACAGGACCAGGGAAGGGCCGCAGGCAGGCTACAGAGACTAACAGGGCCAGGGAAGGGCCGCAGGCTACAGAGACTAACAGGGCCAGGGAAGGGCCGCAGGCTACAGAGACTAACAGGGCCAGGGAAGGGCCGCAGGCTACAGAGACTAACAGGCCGAGGGAAGGGCCACAGGCTACAGAGACTAACAGGGCCAGGGAAGGGCCGCAGGCTACAGAGACTAACAGGGCCAGGGAAGGGCCGCAGGCTACAGAGACTAACAGGGCCAGGGAAGGGCGGCAGGCTACAGAGACTAACAGGCCCAGGGAAGGGCCGCAGGCTACAGAGACTAACAGGCCCAGGGAAGGGCGGCAGGCAGAGCCGCCACACCACGCCTTCCCCCTCCCGTTGTTCCTCTGGTTCCTCTGCCGCGACCGCTCTCCCCTGCCCACCGCAGTGTGAGTAGAGAAGACTAAACACCAGGGAACAGAACAGAAAGGGGACATGGTTGTAGACAGAAAAACAAGTAGATTATTCCCCCAGTATTTTATGATTAAGTTCTGCACACATGCAGGGAAGTTGAATTATGTACTGAACATCTTACTCTGTTTGCTTTGTAGTAAGTGGATACATAGGGGATGGATAGATAGGCTTTCACTGGAAACAGGAAAACGGAAACAAATCCGCCACAGTAGAATGACATCTCCTACGTAGGTGCTGGCCCCCTCTGAAGGGCGGTGGGAGCCCAGGGGACAGTGGCCCGGGTGGGCTGGGGGTCGACCTTCTTGTGCTCGTCAAGTCCAGCCCCGGGAAGGGAAGCACCGGCGTTCTCTGAGGCGGGCAGGCCACTGCAGTCTGGCTACTTACACGGCCCAGGCCTGTAGGCAGGACTTTCTTGGTGGCAAATGGCAGGACGTTGGCTTGAGCTGGCTTTGGCAGAGAAGAAATATACTGAACAGACCTTACGGTTCACTGTGGGCAGGACAAAGGTACAAGACTGGAGCTCAGAGAAGCAGGGACCAGGGGCGAGGACACCCAGGACTCTCTTTGTCACTCATGTCCATTTGCCTCTGCTTCCGTGTCACCTGCTGGCCCCTGGCTTCCGGCTGTGGCGTGGGCGTGGCTGCATCATGCCCAAGCCTCTCACACTCCTTGGAAGGCCTGACTGCGTCTTTACTTTCTGCTGATTTGCTTTAAAGAAAGTCAAGCAAAAAAATAGGGAAAGGTCTGCTTGGCTGGGTGTGTACTGACCCTGCCCAGTCTCCTGTGGCCAGGGGTCAGGCCCCCCATGGGGACCCAGTCAGCCTCCGGTAGTCATCCTTTGGGGTGCTCCAACCTGTGCGCCCAGCGTAACACCGCTGGCTGTGTGGCCCTTGGGATGCGGCTCCTCACACTCGAGATGTGCGTAAGTGTGAAACACACGCCAGAGTTTGAAGACTTAGCACAGAAAAAGTAAGTGCCTAATTGATATATTTTACATTGTTTGATAATATTTTGATAATATTACTTTTCCACTTTACACTGTACATGTCTCGTGTTGCATTTCCGGCGACACCGCTGCCCTCACCCAGTGGCTCTCTCTCTCTCTCTTTTTTTAATCCTCACCCGAGGACATTTTTTCATTTTTTGTTCAGATAGAGCGGGAAGGAGAGAGAGGAAGAGAGAGAGAGAGAAACATCGACGTGAAAGGGACACATCGAGTGGCTAACACCCGCACAACCAACCAGGGCCGGGGACAAACTGCAACCCAGGTACATGTCCTTAGCAGGAACCGAACCCGGGTCTCCCTGGATCGCAGGCTGATGCTCTAACCGCTGAGCCAAACCGGCCAGGGCTCACCCAGTGGTTCTCAGTGTGCTTCCCAGACCAGCAGCATCCACTTTTCCTGGGAATGTCTTGAAAATGCAGGTTCTCAGGCCCCGCCCCAGGCCTAGGGAATCAGACACTTGGTGGTGATGGTGGTGGGCAGATTGGGGGGTGGGGTATAGGCAACAGAAAGCATTTAAACAAGCCCTTCAGGGGTTCCAGTGCAAGCCCAAGTTTGAGAACCACTGCTCAACCACAACATGTTATCTCCCTTTAAAGACGAGATTGTTCTGTGTGATGATTTTAGAGTTTTGGATTTCCTCCACTCTCTTGGTGGAGTTGAGAAGAATTCCATAGTCACTGAACTCTGAGGGCTATTTAAACATTTTCTTTTTGTAGCTTTCCTGTGCAGGTGCTTGGCACCTTAGCACCAGTGAGTCGGATGAAGAAGGCACTTACTAAACATATCAAAGCAACAACGAAGTGCGTCTGTGCAGGCACCTTTGATAACAGCCCAGAAATCTCAAGTAGTGCTGAAGCTGCTGTCACTGACCAGGAAACAAAGCCAGAAATGCAGCCATGAACAGAGAGAACAAGAATTAGTAACTGAGATGAGTAGCTTTCTGTATCTGATATTGCATCCGAAAAAACAGTGACAGAGGGCCTGGCCAGTGTGGCCCAGTGGTTGCACATCAAGCCATGCACCGAGAGGTACTGGTTTGATTCCCCGTCAGGGACTGTGGGCTCGATCCTCAGCAGGGGGCATGCAGGGGGGCAGCCGATGGATGTTTCTTCCTCTCCCTTCCTCTCTCTCTCAAATCAGTTTTAAAAAATGTTTTTGAATAGTGATAGAGGATGAGTAGCTTCAGCTGTTTGCTTAGGAGGACAAGGAGGACTGGGTTTTCACCTTTATGTCCTGCTTCCTGAAAAGGCTTCTAAGCATTAAGCCTTTCTCCAGTGGAATTCCCTGTGGAAGGTGCAGGGGAAACGAACTCCTCCCTGTAGATGCTTTGCTGCCACTCATACTCCCAGGCTGAGAGGCGAGGGGATGGACACTTATGGCCGGTAGCATACATTATTAATCTCTTTGCCTGGAGAGGACAGGATCCGATCTGTTTATAGTTCAGAGTGGACCATGATTGGGAAGTCTTCCCACTGCATTCCGACTCCTGTCCTCCTGTCCTCTGTTGTCTCAGCCCATCACCTCACCTCCTCTTGTGGAAGAGGGGGCAGAGGCTGTGGTGGAATTGCAGAGGCAACTTTACCCCTGGTCCCCAGATGTATTCTCATTGGTTGGAGTCCTGTCCTGTTGCAGACTGAGCCTTTGCTCCCTGGGCTTTTTGCTGTAATTTGATAATCCACACGTCTTTCTGTCAGACTTACTGATTTAGTGGTGTCAGAGAACGGTCGGAGGCAGGCAGAACCAAGTGCATATCTTTGGCATCACTGCATTAAGAATTCCCTTAACTGCAGAGATTTCCTATTTTTTTATTTGAGGTATGGTCTGGGGAATTTTCAAAGCCCAAAATCAGAAGACTTTTCCTTTGGGGATCTAGGGAGGTACCTGGGCATGCTTCTAGGCAGAGTGAATAATAGTTGTTGTTTTTTTTCTGTTGAGACAAAGTTGCTGACATCATGAACTATTGTCATATAAAAATCACACTGGTGACCTAATGGGTAACCTGAGAAGCTGGACGCTTGGGTGCAGCAACCCTTGTGACACTGAAATGGGAAAGAGAAAATAGTTGTGGAGTTCCTGGAAAGGCAACCAAATGACTTTGCATCAGCCCAAGGGCCATATTTAGGCCTGTTGTTGAACTAGGGTCACAGAGTTGGCCAGAAAATATGTTTCTATTCACATCTAGTAACTGGAAGTGTGTGCAAACGACCCTTCAATGTTAACAAGTTGTTTTTAAATTAATAATTTGTTAAAGATGTTGACCAATGTTGCTTGACTAATACTAAGATTTTTATCATCTTTCCTCCTAGAAAGTAGGCTGTAGGGAGTTATTGTTTAACAAGTAGAGTTTCAGTTGGGGTTGATGAGAAAGTTCTGGAGACAGATGGTGGTGATGATTGCACAATGTGCTTAATGCCACTGAACTACACTGTTAAAATGGTTAAAATGCTAAATTTTATGTTATGTATATTTTACCACAATAAAATATTTTTAAATAAGAATAGGGAAAATGGGCCCTGACCGGTCTGGCTGGGTGGTTAGAGTGTCAGCCCGCGGACCAATGAGACACGGGTTCGATTCCGGCCAAGGGCACGCGTACCTCTGTTGCTGTTCATCCCTGACCCTGGTCGGGGTCACACCGGAGGCAACCAGTCGATGTGTCTCTCACATCGATGTTTCTCTCTCTCTGTCTCTCTCTCTTCCTCTCTCCCTCCCTCCTAATTTGTCTAAAGATAAATGGAAAAATATCCTCTGGTGAAGATAAAAAAAAAAATAGAATGAAGAAAATGGGAAAAAATAGATTAGCCTTTGCAGGGGTGGAACCGAGGCTTTGCCCAAATTATGCCCCACCCCAACTTTCTTTTTCTTTGTTATCGAGGCATAGCGTACTCACAATAAAGAATATAGCATGCGTCATCTTAGTCTCAGCTCTACAGCTCACTGACATTTTACATGTGGAACATTCAAGCACCCCAGAAGCTTCCTTCTTACTCAGTAACTCCCCGAGGGGAAACCTCTATTCTGATTTCTGTCACCATCATTTACTTTTGCCAATTCTTAACTTCATATAAATGGAATCAGGCAGCATATTCTTTTGTGTCTGATATCTTTCATTTAGGGTAATGTCTTTAAGATCCATCCATTTATTGGTAAATTCATTTTTTAAAAAATTATGTGTAGTGCCCTGGCCAGTTTGGCTCAGTAATTAGAGCATTGGCTCATGGACCAAACAGTCTCAGGTTCAAGTCCCAATCAGGGGCATATACCTGGGTTGCAGGTTCTATTCCTGGCCCCGGTCAGGGTTGGGTGGGAGCCAACCAATTGACGAGTCTCTCTCACATCGATGTTCCCCTCTCTCTCCCCCTCTCTCTCCCGCCCTCCCTCCCAACACATCAGTTGGTTGCCTCCCTCATGACCCCAACTGGGGCTGAGGATCAAACCTGTGACCCTCTGGTCCTCGGGCTGATGCTCTAACCACTTAGCAAACTGGTCAGGGCCACCCTGTTCATTTTAAAAGACTTTTAACCAAGATTTGCTTATAATTAAATTAGCAGGTCATTTTTGTTATTAATCCAGTTATTTTTAACAAATTTTAGTGAATAGGCCATATGTTGGAAAAAACACTGTAGTAATTTTGCTGACAAAAACAAATATTATGTATCTACAGCTATCGTCTACATGTTTAAATCCAAGAGTGACTGCTCATAAACAATGTTTGGCAAGTGATTAGCACATGGTCACACCATATCTCGAGTGGTCACTGGTTCTGTTATCACACTGCGCGGCGTTCAGTGCCTGCTGGCAGTGTGCCACGCGCCAGGCCACGCGCCAGGCCACGCCCCAGCCCTGTGCGTTTGCTTATTCTCGGTGACGGTGGATGCACGCATTTGCTAGACCTATTCAGTATAAATTTAAAATTACCGTAATATGCCCTGGCCGGTTTGGCTCAGCGGTTAGAGCGTCCACCTGCGGTCCGGAGAGACCCAGGTTCGGTTCCCGCTAAGGGCATGTACCTCGGTTGCAGTTTGTCCCCGGCCCTGGTTGGTCGTGCGGGTGGCAGCCACTCGATGTGTCCCTTTTACATCGATGTTTCCCTCTCTCTCTCTTCCTCTCTCTCCCTCCCACTCTATCTGTATAAAAAATGGAAAAATGTCCTCAGGTGAGGATTAAAAAAAAAAAAAAAAATATGATAAAATTACCGTAATACATACAGAAAACTTTTCTGTGAAATCAAACCTTTCATACATACCTAATTTTAATTACACAAACCTGTCTACATAAGTAAAAACAGGCTAATTTGTCAATTTTTTAACATATGCATTCAGAAAACCTACTTTGTTATATAATGGACTTCTGGCTTTAATGGACATCCCCTTGCTCAAATTAGTCCATTATATCAAGGTTTTACTCTCTTCATTTTATATCTCTCCTCTCTGCTTCCTCCAGACGTGTATATTTCTTCAGTTTATCTTTATCGTTGAAAGTATGACAGATGTCCCCCTGTTTTTCCCCACTGACCCCTTCCACCCTGCTCCCGCCCTCCCCCCAGGCCCTCACTGCACCATTGTCTGTGTCCATGGGTTATGCATATATGCATATAAGTTCTTTGGTTAATCTCCTCCTACCCCCCTGAGATTTGTCAGCCTGTTCCATGCTTCCATGTCACTGGACCTAAAGAAAAAACCCACAAGGACAACAAAATTATCTTAAAACTTTTTTGTGTGTTGCCATGTCCTGATTTTTGTGCATCTCACAGTTCTTTTTTCATCAGCTCCCAATCTTTAGATATTTTTTTCCTAGGAAACCAGGGTTTTTAAGAATTCCTTATTTGAAGTATGACATGATGGGTGATATTCACCCATAGTCTTATAATATTCTTTGAAACAGGAATGGAAGAACATACTCAGACCTATAAGAGATACGCAGGTCTGTCCAGCTCTGTGTTTGTCCCCGGGCACTGCCGTGCTCCTCAGAGGCCATTACTGCATCCTAAGCTCTGGGCAGGTGGTATCGCTCCGATGCATTCTGGGTTTATGGCACTCCTTACTGAAAATGTATCTCCTCATCCTCTTTTTCCCCTCTACTTCTCTCTCAGCTCAAGAGGGCCAGCAGTGAGGACATGCTCAACAAGCCAGGCAGTACCACAGCTTCTGGGGTAGTGCGACTGAAAAAGACGTCGACAGCGGGAACCATCGCTGAGCTCACAGAGGTCCGCCTGAGGAGCAACCCAGGTAGGAGGGACTTCGGTCAGAGGAACACCTGAGGGGCCCAGGTCGGAGGGACCCAGATGGGCCGTTCGTCTTGGCCTTATGAAAGCACTTCAGTGATTGATGCATCCCTTCCTCCATCAGATATGTGTTGAGCAGTCCCTCTGGGCCAGGCACTGTTTCAGGTTCCAGCATCCTGCCCAGGGGAGTTCACAGCTAGAGGAGACAGGCAGGAGAGAAGGGTCGTGGGGATACCGGGACTGCCCCTGCCCTGCCAGTGTCCATCTGTAATCGAGTGTGTGAAGTCCAGGCAAGGTGGCATATGTTCTGGTGTTGTCTTGGTGCAACGTGCATGAGACTGAGTGAACAAGCTCTGCAGGTCCCTCGCAGGTGTGGGTGCACGACATTCTCTGGAAAAATGGAATGATCGCACATAAAGGCCACTCTGAGTTGCTTAGACGACAGTGGCCCCTGGAACTGTGAACTGTCTGTGTTACTGTCTTTTTGTTTGTTTGTTAATCCTCACCCAAGGATATTTTTCCATTGATTTTTTTAGATAGAGTGAAAGGGAGGGGGAGAGAGAAAAATATCAATGTGAGAGAGATACATTGATTGGTTGCCTCCCACATGACCCCAACTGGGGCTGGGGATCGAACTTGCAGCCCAGGTACATGCCCTTGACCGGGAATCGAGTCTGCAACCCTTTAGTCCATGAGCTGATGCTCTAACCACTGAGCCAAAGCAGAAAAAGTGTTGTTGTTTTTAACCATTATATTTGAGTTCAGAGTACGGGAAACTTAAATCATCAAAGAACAGAGGAGTGATGTTGGAGGAATGACGACATGAGAGGTTCCCCTGGCCTCTTCCCTTAAAGTTACAGCAAGTTGAACAGTTATAATTTGATGAAGGGTTCCCTGCTCAGTACACAGAGATCTATACACTGAAACATCCGTAGGTGTGCGAGGCAGGGGAAGGGGGGAGGGGGGAAGGGAGAAGAGCAGGAACTTGTGCCACAGATGCAGGTGTCAGGAGAGGGGGGAATCAGGTGGCCACCTGTACTCCCTGCAGCCCGAGGAGCAGAGACACAGTGAGGTGAGCATTCCTCATGGAGTGGTTGGTATGCACTGTGCCTGGACCCAGTGACCTGGGCAAGGATGGAGCGCAGAGGTGCGGCCGCTGTGTGGAGCCGCCAGTGCCAGGCTGCAAACAAAGCCATGGAGCCTGGTGCCTCCCCTCACCCCTCAGAGCACACTGCCTGCAGCCCTGGGAACTGGAGAGGCGGAGTATTTGCCCCTGAGCGGTAGGTGCACTCTGTGGCTAGTCCCAGTGACAAGGTGAAGAGACAAAGGTGAGACAGATGAGATCGAGTAGTCACCATTACTGGGATAGGAACACAGCCAGACACACCAACAGGCCTCTCCCAGCTCACCCACCCCCACCCATCTCTGCAGAGGACAGCACCGGAATTTCATGGGCTTGGAACCCCATCACCGACCACATTGCTCCATGGGGGTGGAACCCTGAGACCGATGTGACCTGGTCACCGAGGAGAAGCCCAACTCCCCAGGGAATGTACGGCATGTCCACCACTCCACAGCGATCTGAGAAATCAGAGCAGTGCCAGAGAAATGTAAAAACTTGTGCTTCAGCGCCACCTACTGGAAGACAAAAGAAAGACTTCTCCAACTACTAAATAGAGAAGTGCTACTCTTAAAAACAAACAGCAGAACTACTGGTCAAGATGGCAGCATAGGTGCATGCAGTACTCATCGCCTCCCACAGCCACATCAAAATTACAACCAGAGAACAACCATCTTCGTTATTTGTTTTTCCTCCAATTTTTTAAATTTTATTTTTGTTACAGACATTTCTCCTTTTCCCCCCCTAGACCACTTCCTCCCATCCCGCTCCCCCTCACCCCCCCTAGCATTGTTGTCTATGTCCATTGGTTATGCATACCTGCATATAAGTTCTTTGGTTCATCTCATCCCCCCCCCCCCTCCACACACCCCTTACTCTGAGGTTTGTCAGTCTGAACCATACTCCTTTCTATGTCTCTGGGTCTATTTTATTCATCAGCCCACCTTGTTCATTATATTCCACAAATAAGTGAGATCATGTGGTATTTTTCTTTCTCTGATTGGCTTATTTCGCTTAGCATAATACTCTCCAGGTCCCTCCATGTTGTTTCAAAGGATAAGAGATTTTTCTTTCTTACAGCTGCATAGTACTCCATTGTGTATATGTACCGCTGCTTTTTTATCCACTCATCTACTGATGGACACTTGGGCTGTTTCCAGATCTTAGTGATTGTAAATAGTGCTGCTATGAGCATAGGGGTACATATATTCTTTCTGATTGGTGTTTCAGGCTTCTTAGGATATATTCCTAGAAGTGGGATCACTGGGTCAAATAACAATTCAATTTTTAATTTTTTGAGGAAACCCCATACTGTTTTCCATAGTGGCCGCACCCGTCTGTATTCCCACCAGCAGTGTACTAGAGTTTCCTTTTCTCCACACCCTCGCCAGCACTTGTTGTTTGATGATTTGTTGATGGCAGCCATTCTGACAGGTGTGAGGTGATACCTCATCATTGTTTTAATTTGCATCTCTCTGATGATTAGTGACATTGAGCACTTTTTCATATATCTCGTGGCCATCTGTATACCCTCTTTGGAGAGGTGTCTATTTAACTCTGCTCATTTTCTGATTGGGTTCTTTGTCTTCCTTTTGTTGAGTTGTATGAGTACTTTACATATTTTGGAAATTAACCCCTTATCTGATATATCATTAGCAATTATGCTCTCCCATACAGTGGGTTGCCTTTCCATTTTGATGGTTGTTTCTTTTGCTGTGCAGAGCTTTTTAGTTTGATGTAGTCCCATGTATTCATTTTCTCCTTTGTTTCTGTTGCCTTCGGTGATGTATCAGTGAAAATTCTGCTGCGTATGATGTCTGAAATTTTGTTGCCTACATTTTCTTCTAGGATTTTTATGGATTCATGAGTCACATTTAAGTCTTTTATCCATTTCAAGTTTTTTCTTGTGGATGGTGTAGGTTGGTGGTCTAGTTTCATTTTTTTGCATGTAGTTGTCCAATTTTCCCAACACTATTTATTAAAAAGGCTGTCGTTACTCCATTGTATGCTCTTGCCACCTTTGTCAAATATTAATTGAACATAATGTTTTGGGTTCTCTGTTCTGTTCCACTGGTCTATATGCCTGTTCTTGTGCCAGTACTAGGCTGTTTTGATTACAGTGGCTTTGTAGTATAACCTAAAATCTGGTATTGTGATCCCACCTACTTTGTACTTCTTTTTCAAGATTGCTGTGGCTATCCAGGGTCTTTTTTGGTTCCATATGAATTTTTGAACTATTTGTTCTAGCTCTGTGAAATATGTCATTGGTGTTTTAATGAGGATTGCATTGAATCTATAGATTGCTTTGGGTAGTATGGACATTTATTTTTCTTTTAAATAGTGTTAATAATGTTAATTCTTCCAATACATGAACAAGGTATGTACTTCCACTTTTTTTTTATCTTTCTCTATTTCTTTTTTCAGTGTCCTGTAGTTTTCTTCAAATAGGTCCTTTGCTTCTTTGGTTAAGTTTATTCCTAGGTATCTTAATTTTTTTGCCGCAATGGTAAATGGGATTGCTTTTTTAGTTTCTCTTTCTGTGAGTTCATTATTGCTGTATAAGAATGCCATCAATTTCTTTTTTCTTTTTTTTTTTTTTTTTATCCTCACCTGAGGACATTTTTCCATTTTTTGTTCAGGTAGAGTGGGAGGGAGAGAGAGGAACAGAGAGAGAGAGAGAAAGAAACATCGACGTGAAAGGATCACATCGAGCGGCTGCCACCCACACGACCGACCAGGGCCGGGGACAAACTGCAACCGAGGTACATGCCCTTAGCGGGAACCGAACCCGGGTCTCTCTGGACGCAGGCTGACGCTCTAACCACTGAACTAAACCGGCCAGGGCTGCCATCAATTTCTTGAAGTTAATTTTGTATCCTGCTGCCTTGCTGAATTTGTTTATTAAATCTGGCAGATTTTTTGATGGAGTCTTTAGTGTTTTATATGTATCATATTGGGAATAATGACAGTTTCACTTCCTCCTTTCCAGTTTGGATCCCTCTTATTTTTTCTTCCTGTCTAATTGCTGTGGCTAAGACTTCCAGTACTATATTAAATAAGAGTGGCAAAAGTGGGCATCCCTGTCTTGTTCCTGTTATTAAGAGAAATGCTTTTAGTTTTTGTCCATTGAGTATGATGTTGGCTGTAGATCTTTCATATATGGCCTTTATTATGTCAAGATATGATCCCTCTATTCCTAGATTGCTGAGCGTTTTTATCAGAAACGAGTACTGGATTTTGTCGAATGCTTTTTCAGAATCTATTGATATGATCATATGGTTTTTATCTTTCATTTTGTTTATGTGGTGTATCACATTTATTCATTTGCGAATATTGTACCAGCCTTGCATCTCTGGGATGAATCTCACTTGGTCATGGGGAATAACTTTTTTAATATATTGCTGGATTCGATGTGCTAGTATTTCAGGATTTTGGCAGGTTTATCAGAGATATTGGCCTATAGTTTTCTCTCTTTGTGGTATCTTTATCTGGTTTTGGAATTAGAATTATGCTGGCCTCATAAAACCAGTTTGGGAGCCTTTTTTCTTCTTGAATTTTTTGGAGTAGTTTGAGGAAAATGGGTGTTAGTTCTTTTTTGAATGTTTGGCAAAACTCCCCTGTGAAGCAGTTCGGGCCTGAGCTTTTGTTTGCTGGGAGAGTCTTGATTACATCTTCAATTTCCTTAGTTGTTACTGGTCTGAGAATAACCATCTTTCAGAACTGCCTACAATCTGGCTGAATGGAAGTCCTACAAGTAGGGATTTAAAGAAGAAGCCATGTTGAGACTGGTAGTAGGATCGGAGATGCAGAATGGCTGGTCCTGCACCCACATATGGCTGATGAAAATTGGGAAGGATATCTCAGCTGTGGAGGTTCTCCTTGAG